GTGTGTGTCTGCGGGTTGGGGGGAGTGTGTGCATATGTGTTCCTGTTTTACTTCTCATGTGTGGACTTAAATACAGGAAGCCTGCTTTATCGGTGTCACGCTTGATGCAGGCCCAAACGCTGCCATCTCCACTCCCCTTCAAAAGTCTTGGAATGAGGAGATCCCCCCCCCGAGAATAGGCTCCCAAAAATTTGGGGTTTGCCATCAAAAGACGAATAGGAGACAAGAGCTTCTTTTAAGCGGCACACCAAATGTTTCTGTAGACTTTGCTGCCGCCATTGTCTATTACATCATCGTGGATGATTAATGAGGCCGTACCACTTTCCCATTTGGGATCATGAGCGGATCATTTCTGCCTCACGCCCATCACTGTAGTTCCGACTATATATCCGGTTCAGATGTAAATACCTGCATTTCAAAACAAAATTCAGACTGCGACTAAAAACAACAACATAATAAGGGATATTTGGGAGTCATGTAGTTTTAGTTGGGGTTGGTATTGAGGATTTTAAAAAGAATGTATTTTTTTTAATGTCCCCACACTGATACTCACACAAACGTTTGCGTGTGTGGTCTGATGCGGCTCTGTCAGAAGTGTCAAAATGTCCCTCAAACTTTGTCTGTCCCCGCTACATTATGAGTCATGGGTTATGGCTGAATATTTGCATATTTTAATTAAATAGCTTGAATTTAGAATGAATCACTTCCCAAGTTTATTGGGTAATTACATGCTGGTTGTCCTTGACTTGGCAGCATCGCCCACCCATGAATGTATTCATCATCGTCTTTTGATGGCAGCAAAAGTTACACTGACACTTGCAAACTTTGTCTCCTCCACTCACCCCTCAATTACCCCCGTTTTCCTTCCTTTCTGACACCATAAATCACATCCTGTCACATTATCTATGTCATCGGATCCTCGTGACAAATTTATCACGGTGGCGTGTGGGTGGAATCCGCGCGCATTGTCTGTGTCTGCGCGCGTCTTGGGATTTCAAACTACTCAGCAAAATGAACAGCCTGTTTGTCAGAACCGGACATTAGCCAAATGCGGTTTGTTTCCATGGTAGCCTCGCAGAACTGATTAGCGGAGATTAGAATTGGACGACAACAAAGCCGAGTCTGTCACGGTGGGAATGCAGCAACACATGAGCGTTATCAATGCAAGGTAGAAAAATAATTGGCTGGATACGGTTTGCGTTGCGGCGAAAGATGGTTTGAAGCTTTGGCTTACAAATGACGGGGAACAGTAAGAAATGTGAAACATCAAATATAATCACGGGGCAGGACCGAGATTCGCAGACTCTCTTGACCGTTAGGCAGACGGGGGCTAACCACTTCTTCGCCGTGCTGCCAGCAAACGACATGTGGATGATATCCTCCAAACGTCTGTGACCTTGACAGGACATCTGTTGTGACTGCATGTGATGAATGAGCGGCTGCTTGGCTTTCACACAAGTCGCAACAATGGCGGAAAGCGGCAAAACACAAACGTAGGGAGGGGAAAAAAAAACTAAGCGATCCACTCGTTGGTCCTTTAACAATTTGACTTTATTCATAACTTATTCACCACCCGGATCGCTTTTTGAGTTCTCTTTCGAGGTACTGTGAAGATAAATCACTTGCAAAATGAGCGTATGAATATTCACCGTGGTTAACATTTCCTTCAAAGTGGAAAACTGCTTCTATTATTCATGGGGGGAAAAAAAAAAAAAGATATCATCCGTAACCATTCACTCTGGTCAGTTTTGCGCTTCCTGTCAAAGCTGACTTTGGGCGAAAGGCCGATGCCAGCCAGGATTGATCGCTAGTCAATCACATTGCTCGTTTAGATTTTCACCATCACATTCGCAGAATCACTGCGTGGGAACGCAACTCAAGCTGTACAGAAGTCAGGCGAGTGAGCCGTCTCCTCACCCTCAAGGGATTGAACTAAATTTGCTGTGCGTCGCTCCGATTTTTGAAATGTGCCACTAGACAAGTTCAACAACTCAACTTCAGCTCTGGCTTGGCACCTGAGGAGTACCCCCCCCCCCCCACCAGCAGATTTTCTACTCGAGAAATAACTTCCCGAAGCAGAGGGCAGCTTTTCAATAACCCAGCAGTGAGGGTCAAGGGTCACGTGTCATTTATCGACATCAGGCTTCTCCCTGCTGGGTTTTCCAGAATACTAATCAGTTCCATTAATACAAAAATATGACCGAGAGGATCCATTAGCGTAGAATTTGGTGCAGGCTTTGCTTCCCGATGATATTCTCCAACCGTTATGACGACGTGGCGGCATGAGGAGTCCGCTCCTCGACACGCTACCAATCCCGTTCGATACGACTTGAGCACCTTTTCTCATGTGCGCTGAGGCTGTTGCTGCTTCTTAGGAATCGAGTCCATGGTGGGGTTGGTGGGGGGGGGGCGCACCCGTTAACCATCTCCCCTCTGGGAGACCACTAATCATTTGCAATCGTGCGGCGATGGAAATTTTGACTGCACTAATCTCTGGATTGGAGGGAGATTAACCGCCATGTGGGGGTGATGACTTTCCTCTTTGTTTTATTTTTCTTTTTTTGTGTGTGTGTGTGTGTGTGTGTGTGTGTGTGTGTCTGGGGATCTGCTCGCCGTATCTTATCGCTCTGCCTCATTTTTTTTTTCCAAGGCAGCTTGCAGCCATTATCAGCATCAACGCTATCTACACGCATATCAAAGCCTTTGCAGAGGGAGAACGGAATTAGCGACGGGGGGCACATCAAATGTGGCCCCTCCTAATTCATGCTAATATCACACTGTTGCAATCAATGAGCACGGCCTAAGGAGGGAACAGTTAGGAGGTGAACGGTTGCTTGAGCAAGGTGCCGCAATGTGTCACAATGCGCCGTGCGTCTCTTCATCTGCAAGGATTCCCGTTTATCTCCGAGCCTTGAAAATGGGGATTAACGCTCGCCTCACAGGACCCAGCTGCCCGATTCCTCTACTGACACTGACCTCCTTTGTTTTATTTGTATTTTTTTTTTCTAATGACCATGAATTGATGCCTGCCTCTACTTGTGCTTGTGTGCGTGTCTGTTTGTATGGCAACAGGGTGGCTGCTAAAAGGAGGGAGGGTTACAGGGGGGATTAGAACTCACACAACCTACCCCCCACTCGCCCGTAAACAAAAGTAAAAGGTACTGTAATGTTTGTGTGTGTGTGCGTGTGTGTGTGTGTGTGTGTGTGTGTAAATGTATAACATGCTGGTGACATTACACAAAAGAGGGAGGAGGAAGACTGAGTCCATCTGTGAACGCGGTGGGATTAAAGCTTTGCGCAAGGCGAGAGCTGCATGTCAATCATCAACTAAGTGGATGTCTACGTGCATGGACTTTACAGTGCGTGCGTGCGTGCGTGCGTGTGTGTGTGTGTGTGTGTGTGTGTGTGTGTGTGTGTTACATCCAGTTTTGCTGTTCCATGGGGGAAGGGAAGACCCCAACAATGTTGTTGTCATTCATAATCTGGTGGGATGGAAAGAAGCCAGTGCTATAAAGAAAACGTTTTTGTTGGGGTTTTTTA